AGTAGTGTTGAAATTATTAAAACTAGCTATAATACAATGCAAACAATGTGACTTACTAGCTATAATACAATGTAACTGTGCAGGTATGGACATATGGGTGGAGACTTCCAGAAAGCCGCTACTATGACACACTAGAATGACAACTATGAGAGTCCTTAACGTTTTCAGGAGAAAAAGCAAAAAGAGCACTATCAATACTATCAGTCAGGTTGGAATACTTGAGGGTAAGTTTTATTATTCTGTTATGTTTTTAACTTTTTGATTAATAAGTTAATAGTCCTATCTGAGGTGATAATTTATTATCATTAATAATGGACTGATGGAGTCCTGGCTGATTTTATTACTATAATGAAAGGAAAACACTACTTACCTCTTTATCTGACTATAAAATCCAATATGGTTGCGATCTTAACTCAAATTAAATGTTTCACTTTCACTTTCACTTTAATAAATTGTTTCTCTTTCCAGACATCAGACTCACAAAGGTAACAGAGACCGAGTTAGAGCGTATAGAAACTACCCCTCTTGATTTCCAATATGAGTCTGTTCAAGATAACGACGGTGAGTTGACATACTAAAATACACTATCTTTTTTTCATTAATTGAAAAAAATATGTAACCTGCCAAAACAAATGTAGCCCCCTCCGACATTTTTAAGAGTCATCTCATATCCCTTGGTGTAAAAGGAGGTCAGGATTTGTCCACACCAAGCTCTAACATCACTTATATTTGTTGACCAAAATACACTATCTTTAAATAGCACAATTATTTTTATATACAACATCTAATGATCTGATGAAAACCAGCATATTGATCCGGTTGGAGGATACAATATCCCCCGACCGGTGGATAGAATATCACATAAATATTAATTAATCACTTCAATCAATTATTACACTACTTCATTATTAGCAATCATGATAACAATAATTGTATATTACGGGTGTATCATTCCATTCACGTCATATTTCCACCCAAGTTTATAATTTCATGAGTCCATTGTTCAGACGACGGGAAACTATTATTAGTGGCCTTAATTTCCTTTAATCTCCCTGTAATTGTATACACGACTCTGAAGGAAAATTTGAGGCGCATGATGAAACATTCAGCCGTTTAACAACTTAAGAGTTTGCCATTTTTTATTTTTCACTGATACATTGAGGGTTCTGTAATGTTGGTTGTTGTAGACGTTGTAACCATGGTTACTAATTTTGTAACCATGGTAACTGTTGTAATCATAAAATAAGATCATAAACACCGTTATATATCATACAGTATTACATTTAGTAACTTATAGTAAATGCAGTCAAACAATGTATCTGGAAATAGATGGTAAAGTGATCTTCGTAAGTCATAACTACGGATAGCCCAATTTCTGCCTACATAACCATAATCCAATTGCTAAAATTCTAACTTAGTTATTGAATACTTGAATAGTGCACGCTTACAACACCACATATTACCAGTCTATTATGTTATTAGAAATGGGATGATAGGGTAATCAAAACACGTTCCTCTCCGTAAATTGCCAAATGTTGGTAATTTTTGTGCAGTAAGTTTATGCCCTTCCTCAGGTATACCGACTCGGTATAACAATGCCTGAAGGCGGCATGATCAGCGCTAATTCATTTCCTGCTATAACATCGACTTTTTTACGTGCCCATAAATATTACATTGTTCATGTTGATATTAGTGCGTTCAAAACTTTCATCGTTACTTGTTGCATATTTAGCATGTTATTCAATTAGAAAAGCCTGCAATTACCATTAAACGTGCCGTATAAACGTGCCGTGCACGTCACAGATCTCTTGCTAATCTGCTTACCTCAATATTCACGGCACCGCTCGTTGACCCATTTGTTGATAAAACTGGTATTACTGCTATTACTGCTGTACCACAATTTTATGATATTTATCAACTCTCATGTGATTGTGTTCAGACTTAAGCCTAATTCCTTGCACCATCAAAGAAATGTGCGTGACTAAAGTCCCCTGTCAATCTTACTCAGTGATTACTTCACTTTCGGTGACACTCAATCGGAAATCCCATTCAGTTCAGCCAAACTAAACGGTCGAGCATACATCTGTAAGTAGCTCGAAAATTTAAGGTTAACCTGCAGCTCTTGCGGCTATACCTAAAAATGATGACGCTGCTAAGAGCTAAACATCCAATAATGAAATTGGCACTCCCACAATACCGATAAAAACTATTATATTAAACCAAAAGGGAGTTATTGTTAATGAATTAAACAATACAATAAACACTTCACACTTAATAATAATCAGAGTCAGATTAATGAATTACCTCACCGCCACCCTAACATTACCTTTGGGAGCTGATTAATTTAAACGTCTGTTAAAACTTGTTTTGCCCGCTGAAATTGCTTACGAACCCGTACACATTTCATGAGAACATCCGGTTTATTAAGAGATTGAACTGAGACTCACTCTCTCTCTCTCATACTGTTATAGGACTGACGAGGGAGCTGAAGTTAATTTAACCGAGGCAACATGACTATCAGTATAAGTACGAGTGTACTGCTCACTAATACTAGCTGGATAGTGTACTGTTCACTCACTGGCCATGATAAACCGCTGCAGCAACCCGTACAAATTGTGGTGCTTTTTCTATAGTCTAAATGCGATAGCTAGCGCTTACTAGCGCTCACTATCGCTGATTTAGCGATAGCTAGCGCTAGTTAGCGCTTGTTAACGCTAGCTAGTAGCTATCGCAAACTTGAAATTTCGATAACTGGCTGGCCGGCCACTATAAACCGTCCTGCAGCATCAACCCGTACAAATTTCCGCGTCACAGAACGAGTCCGCCGTACTGGACCACCATGACTTTATAAGACGTGGTTGCGAGGTGAAGTGTGCCTGAAGAAGGTTATAGTGTTACCAGGTTCTGGCGGGGTTTCGGTATTGATCGGGTGGTTAGTTGGCACTGTTAGTATTTGGTGTGTTTGTTGTTTATGTCTGCTTTTAATAAGTGATTCCCGAACCGAGAAGAACCCATGCAGTTATTAGCTTTTACGTCGTTCCCGACAACAGGTTCTTCTCATTTTCCCGATCAAGTTTTTCTAATTTTCTCACTCTCATTATCCAACCTTTTGTTCTATACTCTAGATCGTCACTAAGTTTCTGTTTCTCAAACTTTTAGACATGATTCCAAACTCGTGACCTGCAGCGCGAGTGGGTATATTTATAACATGAGAACATGGCACGACTGGCTGAAAAACTCTACCAACGTTACTATAACGTTACCAGCGTTACTAATGTTACCAGCGTTACCAGCGTTACTAATGTTACCAGCGTTACCAGCGTTATTAATGTTACCAGCGTTACTAATGATACCAGCGTTACTAATGTTACCAACGTTACCAGGGTTACCAACGTTACCAGCGTTACCAGCGTTACCAGCGTTACCAACGTTACCAGCGTTACCAACGTTACCAGCGTTAATAATGTTACCAGCGTTACCAACTTTACCAACGTTACCAGCGTTACTAATGTTACCAGCATTACTAACGTTACCAACGTTACCAACGTTACCAATGTTTTCAACATGGTGTAATTAGGTACTGTTTGTACGCGGTAGCCGGTAGATAAGTGGTTATTTCTAACGATATGCGGGTAAATAGTGCGGAAGACGGAAGCAACAGTTCCTCGGACACTCCCATTGTGCTCTGGAGATGTAATTTCCCGATACCACTGTCAGAAGTCAACGACATAACCGAGGTTCAGTCCATTTTTTATCGGTAAAGTCGCTATTAATATAAATACCGTGAAAAGTGTGTGTGGTGATGATGGCCTGGACTATCTAGCAAAATGTAAATATGTAGAAAACTCCAATTTTGTCAGTGATTAGCTAATAGATACCGGTAATAATTGGGCAGGATCTGTTGATCGTTGCCATGGTGACGTGGATGATGGGTCACGTGGTCACGTGACGTGGGATTTGCCCGACTTTTTGAGAGCTGGACTGAAATTTTCGATGCCGGGGTGGTTTGTGTGTGTAATGAGGATTTTAGACTTGGAGCCATTAAATGAACAGGTATTTAGTCGAGAGTGTACCAAAAAATAAACGAGTTTTTCATGTACTTCCACCGTGTCTAGCTCTTATTTCTGGATATTTCCCTCCTAATGGTTGTCCAGTTAATTATAATGACCGGGTTTATGCATTTCCTCACAGTTTTTCTTGCATTAGAAATTGTCGTTCTATTCCGAGGTGAAAGTTTCATATTGTACTTTACTCAGTGCATTATTTCCATAGTCCGTGACGCACAAAACGTATTTCAAACATTAGCAGCCCAATTTACTAAATTATTTACTATCTATCACTTACGTGAGAGCTGTTCTATAGTTGCGTGGATGTGCAGTACCTCAAAAAGTTTAGCAGACATTATAAGCCTACCAGTAACTCAGATAATATGGTACCTATACCTGCTCTGAGCATGCTCGATTTAAGAGGTTATTCTGCTGACATTGATAAAAAGCTGTTGACGTTCTATCTGTAAGGGGATCCCTATGTATTGTATAACCGTTTTAAACCGTGTGCTTTCTGTCACCATGCAGCGCCATAGCTTATACTCTTTCTCTTTCAGTTGTGCATTGAGTCAATTGTTCGGCTTTCTTTCGAGGCGAAGCCATATTGATATGTTGCTGAACTGTAGTACCTAAAATAAGTAACTAGTTACTTACTTTAGGTACTATAGTTCAGCAAGACTGTGGTATTACTATTATTAACAAGGTTTCTGCTCCGTACTTAGGCAGGGAGGAGTGGTTATGTGACGGTTCCGTTAACCCCCTTTTGCTATCTATTTGTCTATACTTTATTAAATATCATAGCTTTTCTTTGCATTTTTTTTCCTTTTTTTCCCCTATTTTTCTTGACATGAGGCAGTTGTTGGAAATAGTGTGATGACTGCGTCGTTTAATAAGTTACAGTTGATTCGTTTAATGTTTATATTGTTTCAATAATCCTTTTAAACTTCTAGCGTGCACCTGATGAAACGGATACCGCTGTCGGCCATTTCTTCTTCTTCAAAATCACCCCTCAGCCCTTGTACCAGAAACTGCTGATTCCATTTAAAAGCTAGTTTCGTTAGCTGCATCGAACAAAACAAACATCAAACTCAGTTCAAAGATAATAATCAGACTATCAAGATATTGCACCCGAAAGACTTTGCACCAGAACACTGAAAGCATCTGCGTCGCCTGAAGGAACATCATGGGGAACCTGATATGCTGTACGATTGAACGGCGTGTCTTTGAAAGTGATACCCCGCCGGTTAATCACGCAAAACAAACTGTCAACGGTAGAAACAATGTTCATGAGAATAACGTGCAGTATATTGAGATCATGCAGCACAATGGGTACGGGCTAGTTGAGCTGCAGGATCAAGAAGGTAGGAATTACTGTTATTCATGATTAATTATAATTAATTATACCTACTGTTTTTTATAATTAATTATAATTAATTATAACTACTGTTGTTTATAATTAATTACGTAATTAATTATAACTACTGTTAATTTTAATTAATTATGTTATTAATTATAATTAATGTTATTTTATTTGTAATACTTTAAATAGTATTCTTAAAATATACAGTCACTGAGACACTATTTCCCCCCTTGAAAGATTATGATGGAGGTCAGTACTCAAGGTTAAAATGACGAAGCATATTATCCGACAACTAACAGAACTATTTTCTAAGATTTAATTATCTATTACATACTTTTATGATCGATACCAAAAGTAAAGCACGTTGATACCATAATCATTTGGAGTTTCGAATATCATAGTGCACCGTAAAAAAGAGGAGTATGTTAATTCTTGAATATTTACTCAAATAAATCCTTCAAAAATACCCCACTTCTTCGTTCCAAACTATTGTAAAACATCAATGCAAACATCTATATATTATGTTGTAACACTATGTCTCGTCAGCGTAGACATGTCAGTGTAATTAATGAATGACATTTGGGAGATGAATTAAACCATGGTGAAGTCTGTTAAGTGATCAGACAGATGCCGATTTGAGAACACTGGACAGTCTAAGAGAGCAGCCTGCTCTGGGGAGATTCCCGTGCTAACCGATACTCACTTTACTCCGCTGTGCAATGTTATAATTTGATAATTGGTTGGTCGGTTTCGTTGACAAGATACCGCCAGCTGTAAAAGATAAAACTTGGTCCGTGGTATTTGGGATATATTCCTCAGACGTATATCTGTCTGATGCAGTCATTACAAAATTGGTTTGACATTATAATATTCCTCGGCTTTACAACCATTTCATAAATGAGATGGTGATCTTAATTTTGAAAATGCAAAGGGACCATTAAGGTTAAATTCGTGATTATCTTTTGGCAATATTATATGCGCTTATAAGCTTATATTATTAGTAGTTTATGGTTTCCATTATTAAAACACATACAAATTAAAACAGGGAGCGGAGTGGGAGCTTCCAATTTACTGATAGTATTGTAGAAATATCACCACATTGCAATTTCTCGGTTATCTGCGGTTCTCCACCGGCAATCGTCCTAACTCTGATCATACTATCGCTAAATACGAATCAAAGTAATAACACAATGTTTTCATGAAAGTTGATCATTATTTTAGGATATCCGTTAATATGAGACCGGACAAAATGAGTATTTGGTATAATAGCATAAGGACGGAACGATCACGATATTAACACGTGCTCATCAACAAACCAACATGAATACACAAGCAATCTTGTAAATACGCATGATCCAAGTTTGTCAACATATTCGGTGAGTCTACGGTTACTAAGCAACCATATGATTATAAAGATTGTGCTGCCAGATCTTTGTAATGTTCCACACAGATATTATATTGATTTGGATAATGACAAGTTGCGATCATGCGCAGGGTAAACTCTGATCTGGCTAATCAATATTAGTTTTCCCCGGAGGAGTGGAACAGCAAGAGCAATGTCCGTGGTTTGCATTTTTTCGACGCTTATTTTGCTTATTCTATTATGGTTGAGTCGGAAAAGGTATGATGCCCTTGTTTCCGATCTATATTGATAATTAATAAATGCATTAGGATTAAGATCTTGTTAAACTTCAACCACTCATAAATCCATTAACAAACCAATTAAGATCCATTAACAAACCAATTAAGATTTTCAAGCTTTTTAATTGAAACTGACCACTTTTTCTAAATTAACCCCGGTGAGTTTTGGCAGGTTGAAATGATAATCATAGGCTCGTGTGACGTCACAGCCCACTCGTTACTTAAACCCCAGATCCTGTCCAGAGTGAAGAAGTTTTAGTTGGACGTTTAGCTTGACGTTTTAGTTACTCTAATCATTCTGAGAAAGACATTACCATTTTCATGCTGTGAGATCTGCCAATTCCGTGCGACAATATAATTGTGATTTTTTGTAATATCCGGATTGGAACATTATTTATTAGTCGCATTGTTGTAATGATTCTGGGGCAAACGTTTTAGTGTTCCCGTTTGTTGCGACAAGGAAAAGGCTCTTATCATGCGATATTTTATAAGTGAATTTCTTGCAATATATTTACCCCTCTAACATCAAAGGATTTGTCGTATAATCGACGATCGTAGATAATTGGAAAGATCATCCTTTACCTTTTAAGGTGCTTCCTTTCTCAAAAACATTTTTCCATTCTTTCAATCTAGACATTAGTTATTTTCAGAAAGTTAACTAAAACACCAGTGCCTACACTCTGCTGTCTAGTATAGTTAACTAAAACATTAGTATAGTTAACTAAAACACTAGTATAGTTAACTAAAACACTAGTATAGTTAACTAAAACACTAGTATAGTTAACACGAACATCTCCAATAGTTCCCCTAATCACAACCTTGTTGTGCGGAGCTATTACGCATTTGTTAATGTTAAAACTAGGCAGTATCCAAGTAGCCAGACAGGTGTTCCCGAACAAGTGTTTTCGAACAGGGTTAGGGTTAGGGTTAGGGTTAGGGTTAGGGTTAGGGTTAGGGTTAACGTTAGGGTTAGGGTTAGCTAGGGTTAGGGTTAGGGTTAACATTAACACATTTAGTTCTGGAACACCTGTCGGGCTGCTTGAATACTGCCGTGACTAGGTTGCTAGGCTGCCGTTGCTAGGCTGCCGTTGCTAGGCTGCCTTGACTAGGGAGTTGCTAGGGAGTTGCTAGAACAAGTCCGACCTCTCTCTCCGACCCTACTTTCCGTTATAATAATGACCCAAATGCACTGTGGACCACCTGTGTCCTGTACTGTTGTCCATATTTTTGTCCAAACCTTTAACTCTCTAACTTCAGCTGCATTTAATTGGTTAAGTTATGACATTGTATTTGTGAAGCTAAAATCGCAAAATTTACTGGAATTACTAGCACACTACACATATTAGATTTATTATGAAGTTTTCGTGCGTTTGCTACCCCATCTTATATGGACATGTCCAACAAGCATTTGATCTCCCATCTAAGCTGAAGACGATTTATACGTGTATTTTGAAAGCTCCTGCTAAACAAACATTTCGTATAACTTTTCTTTTTTTTTAAATACTCTCTAGCTCTCATACTGGGCTACTTAAAAGGGGGGGTTCACCCTGATTTTTTTGTGAAACTTGGTTTCGAGATAGCAGCTGACCAACAAACTAGGACCGGTGACCGAACTTTTGAGGGGGTCCCGGACTCCAACCGCCAAACGGTGCCCGCGGGGCAGCCACGCCCATATTTGGTCCAAATTAGGCTCAATTTAGCCAAATACCCAGATCATGCCCAAAACCGAGATTTATGTGCTCTTCTTGTAGCTAGTGGTCTCTTGAACTCGTATATGAATTTTCATCAAGATTGGACAAAAAATGACTGAGTTATGAGCCAAAAACCATATGACCATATTTGGGCATACGCACCAAATTTGATCGATTTTGGCCCATAAATTGGTCAAATATCAATATTTTTGAATGAAACCAACTTTATATGGAAGGTAAGCCTATACTACACATTCTCTATGATTATCAGCTCAGTATCTAACTAACTGTGGATTCTGTGTTTAAATAATCGCAAAAAATGAACAAAACCGCCCATATCTCAGTTCGCGATATTTGCAAAACTGATTTCGCTCAAAACAATAGAACTCAATAGGGTTTCAATACAATAGGGTTTCAATATTTTTACATGAAATTTTCAGAATCAACGTAGAATCGCATTTCGACCTTAAGTTTTGTATTGGAATTTTAAGTTAGGCCTTTAAAAAAATTTGGCGGCCAAATTCCAAAATTTGCCTGGCATCAAATTTGGTGCGTATGCCCAAATATGGTCATATGGTTTTTGGCTCATAACTCAGTCATTTTTTGTCCAATCTTGATGAAAATTCATATACTAGTTCAAGAGACCACTAGCTACAAGAAGAGCACATAAATCTCGGTTTTGGGCATGCTCTGGGTATTTGGCTAAATTGAGCCTAATTTGGACCAAATATGGGCACCGTTTGGCGGTTGGGGTCCGGGACCCCCTCAAAAGTTCGGTCACCGGCCCCCCCCCCCCCCCCCCCCCCTGATCGATTTTGGCCCATAAATTGGTCAAATATCAATATTTTTGAATGAAACCAACTTTATATGGAAGGTAAGCCTATACTACACATTCTCTATGTGGATTCTGTGTTTAAATAATCGCAAAAAATGAACAAAACCGCCCATATCTCAGTTCGCGATATTTGCAAAACTGATTTCGCTCAAAACAATAGAACTCAATAGGGTTTCAATATTTTTACATGAAATTTTCAGAATCAACGTAGAATCGCATTTCGACCTTAAGTTTTGTATTGGAATTTTAAGTTAGGCCTTTAAAAAAATTTGGCGGCCAAATTCCAAAATTTGCCTGGCATCAAATTTGGTGCGTATGCCCAAATATGGTCATATGGTTTTTGGCTCATAACTCAGTCATTTTTTGTCCAATCTTGATGAAAATTCATATACGAGTTCAAGAGACCACTAGCTACAAGAAGAGCACATAAATCTCGGTTTTGGGCATGCTCTGGGTATTTGGCTAAATTGAGCCTAATTTGGACCAAATATGGGCACCGTTTGGCGGTTGGGGTCCGGGACCCCCTCAAAAGTTCGGTCACCGGCCCCCCCCCCCCCCCCCCCCCCCCCCCCCCCCCCCCCCCCCCCCCCCCCCTTAACTCGATAAAACATCATCAGGCAGTATTTGAAGCTTCAAAGTGAAGGCATTTCGAATTGATTATGATCAACATTGATTTTTAAAAACCGTTTTAATCGCCATAGTGAGTCGTGATAACAGCCTAATCTACTTGGCAATGATTCTAAGACTCTAAGATAACATACCAAGACGTATGTAACATTGTACCCATATGCAATATGTTTATTGTTTATGCAACCTGATATGACACGGATCTGT